GCTGATGAGTGGTTTGCATCTTGTGGTTTCTGCTCTCTGAGTCTTCTGCGAACAGTGGTACCTTCACCCCTGCACTGTGGAGGTCGTTGCTGATGTCACTTACTGATGTTTAGGGATTTTTCTTCACAGCTCTCACGCTATTTCTGTCATCAACTACTGTTGTTTTCCTTGGCCGACCTGTTGGACGTCTGTTGCTCAGAACACCAGTAGTTTCTTTCTTTTTCAGGACATTCAGCACAGATTGCTGTGCTTGCTATGCCCAATGTTTGTCCAATGGCTCTGATTGATTTTCCTTCTTTCTCAGCTTGACAATGGCTTGCTTTTCTCACATAGACAGCTCTCTGGTCTTCATGTTGGTTTATCCTCTTTAACAGGAAATGCAGTCTTTATAGGTTTCGAACCAAGGATGAAAACTTAAGGGGCTTTCACACCTGAAAGTCCGCACCAAGGTCCGAACCAAAGTTCATGTTTTGATACATTTTGATACATTCGGTTAGTTTTGGTTTGGTTTCACACTGTAATTCTGCGACCGCACTAAAGGACTTTACATGAGAGACCTGCGTCCTGTCCTCATCATCTACGTTGGCTGTGTCTCCCTGTAGGTTACTTGACATTGATTTTGTTTATTAAACAGTTCAGCGGGGAGCTTTGACAAGAATGAATGAATAAAAAATTTACATATTCATATTTGCCACTACATTGCAGTGTTTCCTACAGAATGACAGTGTAACTGTGGCGGGGGGGCATGTGTGCACGAGTGCGTGCTGGCGTGCATCGACCTTGACAACAGCTATATACAGTGTGCTAGTCTCGAAAATCCAGCTGTATTATAGATGCATTTCTCCGTGCATTTATTTGTTTCCAGTTTAAACGGCAACTGCCGTACTTCCTGCAGGCTAAATAGTCTGAAATTCTGAACCATCCAAAAAATGCTTTCACACCAGAAACGAACCGAACTATGGTTAAGGTTGATCCGGACCGAGACTACCTCTTTTGGTCTGACCAAATTCCGTCTCTTTGGTCCGGACCGTGGTCCGGAGGAGGTTTCACACCTGCAAATTTGGTTCGGACCAAACTGAAAAGTCCGAAAGCCCGGACCAAACGAGGTAGGTGTGAAAGCCCCCTTAGACTCCCAACGAAGGTTAAAATGAAGGGCAACTGGACTTGGTTGAAGCTACTGGAAGACGTTTCGTCCCTTATCCAAAGGACTTCTTCAGTTCTGACTGACTGGCAGGGAAACTCAGCTATTTAACCTCAGTGGGGTCGTTATCTCGGGTCATCCATACCGCTGGTTCGTTAGTGTTCCTTGTTGCTGTGATGACAGTCGTTACAGTCGTTGAGACTACCTGTGGCCAAGACTGAACGACCATCGTTGGTATCTTCACCTGAGGCCAATAGGTTACGTTTGTTGAGTTTCCTGGGAAGTGATGAAAGGACAGCATTGTAAGTGGGGGATAAGTGGTGGCGTAGACCCCCTCCCCTGTTCAATGACGGCTTCTCCACCCTGGTGTAGATGGCTTCCTTGACACCTCTTTCAAACCATCCATCTTCTCTGTCTAAAATGTGCACCTGGTGGTCCTCAAACGAGTGTCCTCTGTCCTTCAGATGTAAGTAGACTGCAGAGTCTTGACCTGAGGAGTTGGCCCTTCTGTGTTGAGCCATGCGTTTGTGTAGTGGTTGTTTAGTCTCCCCAATATACAGGTCTGTGCATTCCTCACTGCATTGGACCGCATACACTAGATTGCTTTTCTTGTGTTTGGGTGTGCGGTCTTTGGGGTGGACCAGCATCTGTCTTAGTGTGTTCTTGGGTTTAAAAAACACAGGGATGTTATGTTTGTTAAAAATCCTCCTGAGTTTCTCTGATACTCCAGACACGTATGGAATCACAATGTTTTTGCGTTTGACCTTCTTTTCCTCCTCCCACTTACAATGCTGTCCTTTCATCACTTCCCAGGAAACTCAACAAACGTAACCTATTGGCCTCAGGTGAAGATACCAACGATGGTCGTTCAGTCTTGGCCACAGGTAGTCTCAACGACTGTAACGACTGTCATCACAGCAACAAGGAACACTAACGAACCAGCGGTATCGATGACCCGAGATAACGACCCCACTGAGGTTAAATAGCTGAGTTTCCCTGCCAGTCAGTCAGAACTGAAGAAGTCCTTTGGATAAGGGACGAAACGTCTTCCAGTAGCTTCAACCAAGTCCAGTTGCCCTTCATTTTAACCTTCATTGGATAACTATGACCTGGATGACTGAGAATCTTCATAGACCCCCTTAGACTGTTCCACACTGGATGCAGTATTTACGTAATCGATTACGTCGATTCCAAACTAGAGCTTACCCTGCACGGGGACTACCCACCACGTCTATAATCAGCGTTAATGATGAGAAGTAGGATATTAATACACACCACTTCATAAAATATGTTTAGATTTCATCCTGATTCGTTCCACTGAGGTTGAAATGAAGTTCTGAACACAACAGCATTACGTTCAGACGTTCAGTGAGCTAGATTAAAGTAATAAATTAACAAGAAGAAAAATCGGAAATGTCCTGAAATTAATGTAATAAAAAATCGAAATTCACTCTGTTTTCTTCTGAATATGCCCGATTCAAGTCTCTAAGGTCCATGATAGTGATCGTGGGCTAAACTCAGGAGTATTTCCTCACTGCTAAATCTGATTGCAAAGTTTAATATAACTTTCTAGTGCATGCATAATGCACGACAGATGTGTGTGTGATGTTGCAGCTTTGCAGAGTGAAGTTTCTCTCATAAATGTTTGACTATAATGTCAGAGAATATTCACGTTTTTTTTACTTGTAGATTAATCTTGGAAATTAAATTCTGTCTGGGATTATTCCCCCTCTCTCCCAGCTGGCTCCTTTTTTTTCTATTAAAATGGACCTTATGTGCAGTTGGACCTTTACAACTTTATTCATATTACACATAAAAGATGAGCCCATAAAATACATAGGCTAATAAAGATTTGATCTACAATACGAACACTGTGAAATTAATTACAATTTACTCAATGCGATGCCAACAAGCCCCCCTTGCTTTGTCGTCCACCACGACATTAGATTTAGCCGTTAATGTGTCTTTATAGTCATAATTTCCTGACACTACCAACGTGCGTTCCTCTGGAGAAATAAACAAAACTCCTATTAAGTTAATAGCGAGTTAACATGGACTCAACTAACCAACATCTTATCCACCTTCGTAGTACCGTTAAGGCGGTCAGAATTTGTCAAGCCTGAGTTTGCCTGATAACCCCGAGTTAACTCTGAGTAGGTTGAACTCCCTTCGTAGTACAAGAAACATCTGTCAGTCACATGTTCCAATAATTTTGCTCACTTGAAAAATGGGTGGGTTCAAACAAAGGGTGATATGTCCTTAGTTGTTTAACACATCTAGATGTGAATACCAGGAAATTAGAGCTGAAATTCAGGACTCTTGTCTCATACTCATCTTTTGATCTTAAACCCAAATGTCTTCAGTGAACAAAAAAAACTAGAAATTTGCCTTACTGTTCCAATACTTTTGGAGGGGAAGGTATATTGCATTGCATGTTTTCTTACTGTGCAAATTAACCTTTCTCAAAGCATTTTCATTTGTTAAATTACAAATATATAACTTTCTTGGTGCAAGCTATATTTCAGAACATTTTTAACAATTGCTTTAAAAAGTAGTGGAGACAAAATCAGTAATTTCAAAATGTGGTGGGTCCGCTCGTATCCCCCCTCAATATTGAAAGTTTTAGTTTGGCCCAGATTGTTAAACGCACATACCCCGTTCCGTTGCTGCTGACCAGTCGATCAGCCACGTCACAGATCAGTAAAACATTAGAAACTGAAAAATGTAAGCATTTAGGGATATTAAACCGTTTAATGTAAGTAAAGCCACATGAAACTGCAGGCTAATTGGTTGTCCCTTCTCTTACTAACATTAGAGGAAAATAATAAGAAAATAATAATAAATAATTGTATTATTTTTCTAAAATCGCCCCTGCTGCCCGACCTGCAGCTTCTCCCCTCTCCCCTGCAGAGCTCCTCCACTCCACATACGCACACACACACACGGAGCGAAGTCAGCCAACAGATCAGCTGACATTACCGAAGTTGACGACAGCTACGGTCTTTAGTCTAAGTACATGGTGCAATGAAACCTTTGAGAGTAAAGAGACAATACTTTATCAATACACCTGTTTAGCATAAACATGTAAAACTCGATATTTTAATCTGCTCTGGTTTTACACAAGCACAGCGCTAGCTCAGCTTAAGCTATTGTTACAAACAAGCTAGAGTGAAAGATGTCTGTTTTTATAACTGTTTAGCTTATTTTACCACGTACATGAGAATATGGCACATATAAGGTGCCTAAACTCAGCAGGAGGAGGACATGGGAAAGGACTGATGGGGACTGAGTTCATCATTCTTTCTTTACTTCGCTAAGTATGTTGATGTCAGGAATATGATTTATTTTAATGACATTTTAGATTTGTTTCCACTGAGATATTAGTGACTTTGCTGTTGTAAATCCTGTTGAGCTCTAGAAACATTTAATTATAATAAATTATTTTTAAGAATATATTTTTAAAAGGCATTTGTTTAGTAAAGAGGGTAATAAGAGTGTATCAATAAAATTCTAATGATACCAATCCAACTTGTGAGAAAATGTCCAGCCTATCTCCATGTCCTAGTTTATCTCCGTGTAGGCTACTTTGTTGATTTGGTGCAAGATGGCGCTGCCAGGGCAGTCGTATAGTATTTTGGTTCACTCTGTTTTGTTTACGTTTGTTAACTTTGCATTCTGTTGTGATACCCGGAGCTCTTTCACCAGAGAAGAGCTCTTAAACATCAGGGGAACAACACCAGCGGATTTAATTCGGACTTTTCACGTGTCATCAGTTGAATTATTGATAGTTTTCAGTCACGTGACATGCGCGGGCAGCTGGAGGGCAAAACAACAGACCAACACAGCGGCTCACACAGTGACTCCACAAAAGCAGTCAAATTTTATTTGGATCACCTTTCAACTTGAGAAAAAGAAACACAAACTGCAAGTGTTGGGCATATCTGATCCATATAACATTACAGCATCCGCCGCCGCATTTCTACCGTTAAAAACCATCAGTTTACCGTTTACCTTGTGGGGAATCCTCACCTAACACACCCCAGTCTCTCCTCCTCGATTAGTGAATCCGAAAGCACAACAACCATCTAGCATTTCCAGCAACTCAAAGTAACAGCTTGTTGTTGCTTACTGGTCGGCAGGCAGCGGAAAATAACTTCATTTTTGCCCTCCAAGGGAGCGTTTTCCTTGGAATGTGACGTCATGTGAAAACTATGAATTGGACATTCTGGTCAAGGCTTCACTCTCCGTTGTTTATTTGGTAAAACGCCAAAGGAGGAGCTACAGTAAGCTGGTGCGACTGCAACGAAGAGGACGCTGCTACCGGGAATATTTCTCTCTGATGTGCGCTCGCTGTGCAATAAACTGGACAAACTTTCGGCTACTGGTGGGGAAAACAGAGACTTCTGTTCTGTGCTTCACAGAGATGTGGCTTTGTGGATCGATACCGGACTACGCACTTAAGCTGGCTGGATTCCAACTCTATAGAGCGGACCGCGACACAGAGCTCTCTGTTGGTAGAGCGGACATTCCCGGACACACTTAGTTATTGTTCTTGGTGACCACGTTATGGTCCACTTAATTCCTTCATACAGGCAGAAATTAAAGCTCCGTAAACCTGTGGTGAGGACTTCTAAGCAGTGGACCAGTGAAGCTGTAGAGGACCTTCAGGTGTCTTTGGACTGTTCTGACTGGGATGTTTCAGGACTGCTACCAATAGTCTGGATGAGTATACAGAGGGTGTGATGTCCTACATCAGCTTCTGTGAAGACAACTGTGAACCATCCTTAAAGGCGGGTAGCTCCACCTCAGAGAGGGATGTCAACAGACTGTTCATGAGGCAGAAACCTCGCAAAGCCGCTGGGCCGGACTCTGTCTCCCCATCCACCCTGAATCACTGTGCTGATCAGCTGTCTCCGGTGTCATCCCGGCCCTGCTGCAGAACAAGCTCTCCCAGCTGAGAACTACCAACAGGCACTTTAGCCACCAGGATTTATTTAATATAAACATATTGCATGAAATTAAATTGTTGTTTTCTTTTCAACAGGAAGTCGAGATGAAACGGATTGTACAGAGTTCACGACTACTTCCTGCCCTGCACTGAGGGAACTTTCATGAATCAGCCTACTGGACATAAACAATGTTTTGCCTGTACAACTGTGTTGCAGGTAGATTTCTATTAATATTTTCTCATCATTAGTAGAAACTTAAAGCCTAGTTAAAGACAGTAAGTAAGCTTATTAAAGATGTGAATTATACAATTCCATGTTGTAAAGTAAACCAGTACAGCGCAGAACTAAAATCTTACAATGCTTGTTTAACTTTCTGCAGTCTGTAGATGATGAGAAATCAAATTCATGACATGTTATTACACTAGTTCATGGGAGCCCCATACCACAAAACAACTTTTGTAGTCATGAATCACCAAGTCTTCTAGAGTAAAACTGCCCAAAATTCACACCCACACAACAGCAAACCATCATTTAAGCTCAAACTAGGCGTGGGCGATATTAGATCGTGGACGATTAAAATGTCTCCACGATCTGCCTTTTCAGTTTGATCATTAGTATCGTGCTACATTGCACAATCTGTCAGTTTTAGTTCTATAGTAGCTGCTCTGTCAGCTGCCTCGCTTTCTGCGTCCTCCGCTGTCTACAAAGGCAACACTGTTGGGTGTCACAAAATTAACATTAAAGTTCCCCGTGTCCCGCGGCTGCTCTGCCTCAACTCTCTGTGATTTATGGAGTTTGCTGATGAACAGAAAGTCTTTCTTGTTGCTAAAGTAACCACTGCAGCTAACTAGCTGCTGTTAACTAATTAGCTCAGTTAGCGTAGTGGTCATAGCTGACTCAGCCCAGACTGGGAGCACGGAGCACCTGAGGACTGTATTGTGTTTAACGTTACACCTCTACTCAGGCACTGGAGGTTTTCAGGCCAGGATAACGTCAGCGAGCGGCGCCGGGATTGGGCACCAGAATCAGAGCTGAGCGAGCAGTCAACGAAACCGAGCTCAGCAGCCTCCTAGTAAAAATGGCATGAACGGGACCGAACACAGAGACCAACAGGGAATATAGTACCAGTGTGAGTTTCTTCAGGAACAGATAGATTTCCATTGGATTTTGACATTACAGTTTGATAAACCACAAACGGCTGACGTTACTGACTGTTTCTGTCTGCATCTGTAGCTAGTTAGCTCGGTTAGCCGGGCAGCTGGCTGTCCTAGCTGATTCAGGCCCGGGGGGCCAAGAGCCGAACCCAGCAGGAAAACCAACCCCGATCATGTATTCCCTGTCTTTCAACTGGTCTCTGCAGGTCTCGGAGGCCGTCTTGGGTCCCAGCCGTAGTGTTCACTCAGTGAGAGCTGAACCCACCTGCACAGAGTCTGCATGATGGGGTGTAACGCACATTCAGCGCTACTAGCTACTGTAAACCCCAATCAGTGAAAATCAAAACCAAAAATGTATATTAAAATCTCTAAAATGTTATAAGAACAAAATGAATCAGTTAATTGTTGTTTGAATGAATCATTAGGCTACTATGTGTGTCCATTTGAAATCAATGATTCGCCATGAAACAGGAAGTTGTAACTTCACTGTACAGTACATGCTCAAATCTGTACCAAACTTTGCGAATTTGCAAATTCTACTATGAAGAAGGCGTGACCGGCCCTTTCTCTGCCTCTGATTGGCTTAGCCTGACGGTGGAGTTTCTGAGATAGACCTGGTTTAAAGAACAGAGGCGAGTTCATCCTCAAAATGTTTTGCACCAGTTTGCAACATTTTTGGATTGATTGATTGCAAGGAAATTTTGCACAACGGGCTTCAAGGAATGTTTAGTTGTCGTGTCAGAGGTGTGACCCAATCAGGTGCGACAAGTATGTAAACACAGCTCTGTTGAAAAGGCAGTAAAGTGCACTGCACTTGCGTGCACAACAGTGCGTTCAATTCACCACCGTTTCTGTTGAAAAAAGCGTTTTGTTATTTTGTCGGAGCTGAACTCAACCCAGGTTTCAGCTGAAAGAACAGGAAGTTTTTGCTGGTCTATTGACTTTAGCAAATTAGGTTATATTTTTATTTCTTTAATGTCTACATTATCAACTTAAGCAACTGTGACACAGCAACATCCCCTCGGGGATCAATAAAGGATTTCTGATTCTTTTTTCTGATTCTGATAAACAGTTTGCTTAGCAGTTAGTGTAATCTCTACATGGATATGTTTCTTTTTCTTTCAGGTGATGTCCCTGTCCCCTGATTTTACTCTCACTTCATCCCAAATCTCAGTGAGAGGACGTCTTCAGCCCATGAAAGCTGTGATTCTGCTGTACAAAATGATGTTTAGAAGAAAACCTCTGGCACCTGCAGCATTGATGGTAAAATCATTTTTATCAACTTGCATAAGAACCCGACAGCCTAGTTACAACATTTCTGCATTACTTCTGCAATGTGCCTAACTGAACTGGAAACAACCTCACAGTGCCACGTGGTGGACTAGCGGACTGGTACTACAGCAAGCTTTCATGGCAGCAGTTCATGCATCACTTTACTCCTTCTTTGTTTAAATGTTTTCCTTTATGATAATGTCTCTAACATCGACAAACATTTCAGTGTTGTGGTGTCCGAACAATAATGCTGCGTTGAGTGTTGAGAAGAAATCCGCTTGACACTGTTCTTGATTATAAAGTTTATTACATCAAGGAATTCAGCATCAATTACAAGCTCTGCAGCAGCTTGGAGAGTGACCCAGCCCAATAACCACTCTGTCTCTCTGTACATCGAACACAGCTTATATAGGACATGTTTAGGTATCTGCTAAATACCATATAAGGGCACAGTCCCTTCATAAACACTAATCTCTACTCCCCCTAACACTGGGTCAGAGGTCAAATTCCATAGGAGGGTTCACTCTTTACACACCCATCAATCATTACTCCCCCTTAAGAGTTCACTGTGCCTCTCTCCAGCTGCAGAGTATTATTTTAAACTGTAATGGTCAAATGCACATATGTTATACACCACAGTGTCAAGAAAAGAAAAAAAGATTTTAGGTTTTCTGTTCATCTGCTCTGCCGTTAACCTCTGTAACAGAAGAAAGATGATGTGGTGAAGGTGAAGATGGAGCTGTTTAATAGTACTAGTGGGAAAGTGGAAAGTCAGTGGAAAGTTCCTTTCCAGTGATAGGATGAAGGTGGGGGGTTGTGCACAAAAGAAAACATTTCAAAGCAGTTTTGAAATGAAGAAATACAAAATAAATACATTGAGTGAAAAGAGAAAATACATTCTACAGTCCTTCACCTTAATGATGATAAGAATGTAATATTTAAACTCTCCTTTTACGTGCCGGTCCACACGATGACTTCACTCTTATGACTCTGATGATACAAATATGACCTCATTAACTCTCACATGACTTCCTGCTGGTGTTTAGGGGAGTGGGGGCCATAAACATATAGGCAAAACTGGTATAGATCTTAAAAAGGCAACTTTTAGTGGTAACCCGGAGATGCAGACAGGTAACAGTAAACAAAAGGAGGGTGGATGAGGGTGCTGCGAAAACAACAAACCAAGTTAAAATAAAGAGGTCCTCAAAAGGAGGCCTGTACCTATCTATATATTTAAACAGGGTTAATTCTTGCTACAAAAGAACACAAAGAGCACAGCACCCACTACACCTGAGGAAAACTAACTCAATATTAAACAAAAATACTAAGTGAATTTCTCCACTACACACAATGTACAGCTAACAAGCAAAGTACACAAGTCAACAGGCGGTGACAAGCTGCCTCGAGCAACAGGTGGACTCTCCTTATGAGGAGGAGGTAATCAATGTGGTGACTAGCCATTGGTTGAGCGGGAACAGAGGGAACCAATGGGTGGGACTGAAGTCAGCACCCCAGAAACCAGGAAGTAGGCGGGTCTTCTTTCCACAGGGACACAGCCTACTTGGTAGAGGTGAGACAGAAAAGGGGAAACACAAAAGTGACAGCTACAGCCGTGACACTCACCTGCAAAGGTTAAATGATGGGACCTCCTAATGTTATAGTAGAATCTGTACTTTTAGCTGATGTGGTTTTATTTAGTATCTTTTGGACCTCTAACTATCTGGCTGACTGAAACAGATCTACACAAACACAAAGTGCTGCTGGTTTCTATCAGAGTTCAGTTCAACAGCTTCTATCCATATATTTGATTTGCAGTTTGTCTTCATTTCAACCAGGCTTCACTGAGACAAAACCCTTTTTCTTTCTCTTCACAGATACTTGTGATGAATGTCTTGAGAGGACACAGCCTCCCATGTCATCGAGGAGAGTATGAGATAGGGGAGGAATGCTGCCCTGTTTGTCCTGCTGGTAAGATCCAACTGAATGTTAAAGGGATATTTCACTTAAAATATGGAGTCTTTTTCGTTTACTGCCAGATACCAACAATAATTACCAGAATCAATCACTCCATCAGGGCCCACAGTTGGTGCTGTTTATGTTTACAGGTTTCATGTATCTGCGAGTCCTTCAGTGTGACTCTGTAGCAGACAGCAGTTCACTTTGCAAAGCTCACAACATGAGCTTTACCCTCCAAGATTTAACTTTTCATTTAATAGAAACATTATATTACATGAAATTGAATTGTTCTTTTGTTTTCAACAGGAAGTCGAGTTAAAACAGATTGTACAGAGTTCACAAGTACTTCCTGTCTGCCCTGCACTGAGGGAACCTTCATGAATCAGCCGACTGGACGTAAACAATGTTTCCCCTGTTCAACCTGTGTTGCAGGTAGGCTTCTGGGAATAATTCCAAATCATTGTGTTGTGGAAATTGTATCTTGCTGGTGAGGGATTGAGCAAATAATTGAGTAACAATCAACCATTGCCTTTGAAGAATTTATTAATAAAAAAGAATAAACAGAAACATACTAAAACACATATACAGCTGGTCCAGAGACCGCTTCGGGCGTCTGGCCGAGATCCTCTCCCAGCCTCTCCCAGGAGAGGAAAGGAACAACAAGAGAGGGAAAAGACAAAAATAATCTCACAGCTCTGACCTAAACCTAGTAAATGTGGACGGACTAACATAAGGAGTATAGAAGAAGGAAAGGTTAAGGATAGACACAATACATATATATCTATAAGACATAACGACAATAGTAATAATAATAATATTAAAAGTCATACATAAAAGATTAAATGTAAGGACACAATTTTCTGCCATAACACAATGAAACTTAGAGCCTGGAGTTCAAAGGCAGTAACTTGCGTATTACTGCAAGTTCCACTGTTAAAGCTGTGGAACAGCTAAGGAAACTGTTGAAGATTGGTTTGACTATGTCATTGCATAGAAGCAGAGACTCATTTTGATGAGTTTACTACACATTACTGATTTTGCTCTGAAAGTGATGAACTGCATGCAGAAACAAAGACCTTGTGTGTTATGAAATACTCTGAAATACTAAGTGAAGAAATGTTGTGTGTCGCAAAAGGATCATTTCATGAGTAAGCTACAAGACATTCAACATCATTTATTTTGCAGTCGATGTATTAGGCTGTTAATTTCAGCTGTATTTTCCTCTGTGCATGTTGCTTTAGTAGATTAAAAGTGTAGTATCTCCATATGTAACCTCTGTATGTGCTGACAGGTTCTGGTTTGAAGATAAAGACGTCATGTACAACAACATCAGATGCAGTTTGTGAACCACTGGAGGGATTCTACTGTCTGGACTCTACAGAGGACAGCTGTATGACAGCACAGAGACACACAAGCTGTCAACCAGGACAATACATCAGTCAGAAAGGTTGGTTTCCTTGTGCTGACTTTAAGCTTCTAACTGTAGTTTAAGTTTTAAATGAACCAAGGTTTTGAGAAACGTAACTTAATGACAACTTCCTCATTAAAGCTGCAAGTGGTTATTTCTGACCACAAGATAGCAGAACAGAAGCTCCACCATAAATCTGCAGAAACTGTTCAGACCAGTTGAGTGATTCAGTCAGCCTGAAGCCGTTAAGGGAACTTTCGGATGATCAATCAATTACTTAAAGATTAACTAGGAAAATGTGAATTCTAAAATTTACATGGACAACATTAGTTTAAGAGTTAACAAAGCAGAAGAATTCTCTCTGTCAGGATCATTTGTTTGGGGAAAAAACTTGTTTTCATGTGATTACAACTGTTACCCAGAGAAGTGGATGTTACACTGGCCAGAAGAGAAAAGTTTAAAAGTGGAATTTATATCATTTCTTGACAGTTGTCAACTGACATCAACATATTAGTAGTTTTATCCATCCATCCTTCCATCCATTGTTAACCGCTTATCCTGCGTACAGGGTCGTGGGGGGCTGGAGCCAATCCCAGCTGACATCGGGCGAAAGGTGCGATTCCACACAGAAAAGCCAGGGCAACCAGGGTTCGAACCCAAAACCTTCTTTCTGTGAGGCGACAAAGCTAAGCACTGTACTACCGCGACGCCCTAGTAGTTTTATATTATTTTAAATTACATTATGACACTGAACCTCAAGATGTTTGAATACTTCCAGTGTTCTCTCAAACTGTGGTCAGTTTGTTTATGAGTCTGCTGTCCTTTACAGTGATTCAAATCCCATTCAATCTGTAGTTATGAGAAAAATGAACATCTCGTCAAAACCTCAAAAAAAAAATGTTTTTCCTAAAACATAAAAAAATGGAAGATTATGTTTTGGGTCGTGTTTTTTTAAATCCGCTGAAATTAAACCGTCCTTACATTTCATCAGATCAGTCTGATGAATATATATGAATGATATATATATGAAAACTGAACTGGTTTCAATATCTCTAATCTGTGTTTGTTCAGGAACAGCATTCACAGACACAAAGTGCTCTGACTGCAGCGTTGGAACATTTTCAGATGGGACATTTACGTCCTGTCAGCCGCACACACAGTAAGAGAAGCTTCACATCAGACATCTGAAGTCTTCCAGCAGCAGTGAATTCATGGTTTCCTACAAATGTTGCTGTAAAATGTCCCTCTATCATTCCAGATGTGAATCAATAAACCTGAAAGCAGGAACTGCTTCAACCGATGCTGAATGTGGAGAACAAAGTTCAGACAGGACAGGAGTTGTGATCGGTGCTGCTGTTGGGGGGATTCTTTGTTTATTAATTGTAATACTTGTTGCTTTTTTCTATGTCAAAAAGAAGAAAGGACGTCTAAACACAGGTATGATTTGTATTTAGATAATAAAAACACTGTCACATCATTAAGTTGTTGATTAAGGTGTTTATTTGTAATGTTTTATTACAGAAGACATTCCACAACTGGAACGTTTTATTACAAGAAGAAAACCAGATGCAAACAATCCCCAACAGGTATGTTCTATACTCTTTACTATAGACGGGTTTCTGTGCAACGTCATCACAGAGATGTGTGCGCAACTATGGGGCAGAAAAGCATATCTAGCAGCAGTGTTGGACAAATTACTCAGAAATTGTAATGAGTTACTTTATACTCATTTAAAAACCAATGTACGTGCCGAGGTAGTTTGGCATTTCAGACTTTTGTTTGTTCTCCCCTAGTACTTTACATATTACTGGGTATTAATGGTAAATAGTCACATTACTCGTTACATTACAATTACTTTCAACCATCGCACCCCATCTTTAAAAGTGACGGGAAGCCTGTTCAGCAGTGCATTTTAGAAATAAATCCACTTTACTGGAACAATAGTTAACCTAAAGTCAACAACCAGCCGAACTGAAAACACTGCAGCCTCTCAGACCAGAGGATGCTCTATCATATAAGCTATGGATATAGGCTATTTAAAAATAATTTAAAAAAACAAAGCAGGTCCCTCCAGATTTTAACTAATCGCGTGTTCATAACAGCAGCCATGAGTATGATTTTTTTTTTTTAATGCCACTGTCAGAGATCAGAAAAATCAAGCAAGTGTCTCAAATTTTGAACTAACATTTTGCAAATGCATTTATAAGAGAAGCATTCAGTGCTTTTACAAAACACAAAACGTTGATTAACGCCACTCTCTCCTGCTGAGTGGATACTTCACTGGCAGAAACGTTAGCTGCCGGAGTTTATTTCCACAGGCTCAAGTTTCACGTTGCTGTGCTGCTTTAGCAGATGCTTCAATATAAAATTGTTCACAGTTGAAAGCGTTTTGCTGGTCGCACAAGTTTACAACAGAAGACCATGTTCTTTGCATCTCTGAGTGTGACACAGCTCGGCCTAATGGCAGAACGTTACTTACAGCTGTGGAAAGAACGCCTCTCTCCTTCTTTCTCCATTCTTCCTTTAGTTTTTTGGCTAGCAGCTGACTTGAACAACATAAGTTCTGGTTCCGCTGACCTGCAGAGCGGTTGCACATGATATATTAACATGCGAAATGAAACTAACAAACAGAGTTTATTATTGAGTCAACAAGAATTTACAAACAATGCCTAATCTACGTTGATTACAGTTGTTTACTACAGTCTTCTGACCGGCTACCAAAGCGCTTTGACCCCCTGGCTGCATGCGCATCCAGCAGTGTTTGTATAAAAGAAACCAGTCTGAGTCCATTTTACTGTTATGTACAGTAGAAAGTAGAAATGATTTTTCTTCTAAGTAATTAAATAACATCACTCATTTATCAAATTTTCACAAACAGAAACGTGAATGGAGAAGAAATACCAGGTGAATGTCCTGCACACGGCGCTACAGAAGTGCTGGTCTACAGTCTGGATCATTATCTCACACATATGTTACTGTACAGAGACTGAAGTCAGCCTGGAATAACAACGTGGAGCAAGCTGCAGACTTCCAGTCAATCATCTTCATGTGACTGTACATGTAGGCTTCTTTCTTCTTCTGTGGTGGTCACAGAGCTTACGGCTGGATCTGAACACAGACAGACTGAAACTGGACTTCATCTGTCATAAACCAGAACAAAGAGCTGGAACAGAAGAAAGATTCAATCTGAACTGCAACATGATGGACAAATGGTGACTGATAAAAGCAGGGAAGCTGGATAGTGTGCAGGTACAGCTCCAGGTGGGTACAGGTGAAGAACCAAAGCAGCGTGTGGTAGGAGGAGAGGTAGTCCACATGCCAAAATTTTTGGGGAACATGAATTCCTGGAAGCCTGTGTTTTAACAAGGCGTTAAATGGAAATCCAGTCGGATGTTGTTATGGAGCCAGTGTGGATTTGTGCATTTTATATCAAATAAATTTGGAGATCCCAAAGTCTTTCTCTCTCCCTGAGAGAAAGAAAAGGAGGGGGTTTGAGATATCAACCCTCAACAGACAGCTGAAGCAACCAAAGGAGGAGGTGAAAGGTTTGCTTTCCCTAAGGGCTGTTTCTGGGCAGTTCGATCATAAAATTGGTCACCTTTTGGCAGCAGCCGAGACAAGGCTCTGTGCCTGACTGTTAAAATGACAAAGAAACACTAATCAGACATTTTCTTTCTCCTGAATAGCCTATCAGAACTCTTTTTAAGAGAGGGCAGGAAACCCTAAACTGCCCCCCCGCACACGTAACCATGGCAACTGACCTCCCTCTTTGTTTAATTACCCACATCAAAGGATATTCTCCTCTTCACGCCCTGATGTGAGAAACTCTAGAACACCAGAGGACAGCCCTGAACTCTTTGTGTAAACAAAGAGTACTGTCTCCTCAAAACTCAAAGCATTACCTTGTTTAATTAAATAATCTTTAAATTACTTAACTTGGTCTCTCCACTCCATTTGAGTAGTTATGTGAACATGTTGTTGTTGATAGTTGTTGTTGAAAAGAATCTAAATAAGTTAATTTTGCAGTGTTTTAATTTGCAGCAAGGATCCCTGACACTTCTTCATTTTATGCTGTAACCAATGCTTTGTTCCCAACACTTTCTGACACTTCCTTTAATTCAATTCAATTTCAATTCATTTATTATTCTATCTATTTATATAGCGCCAAATCACAACAACAGTTATCTCACAGCGCTTTTCATAAAAGAGTAGGTCTAGACCGTACTCTATGATGCTATTTACAGAAGCCCAACAGTTCCCACCAAGAGCAAGCACTAGGCGACAGAGGCAAGGAAAAACTTCCTTTTAAGAGGCAGAAACCTCGAGCAGAACCATGGCTCAGGGTGGGCGGCCATCTGCCTCGACCGGTTGGGGTGAAGGAGAGAGAGGGAGAGAGAGAGGGAGAGGGCAGGAGAGGAACAGAGAGAAAAAGAGAGGGATGGAAGGAGAGAGAGAGGGGAGGGAGGCAGCCTACACAATATACACACAGAGGTACAGACAGTAAAGATAATGTTGCTATGGACTAAATAGAAAAATGGTACAGATATTTATACTAGTGTTAATGATACAATCGTAATGTTAATGATTATAATAACAATAATAACAATAGGACTAGTAACAATAGTCGTTGCAGCAGAGGGTGTCGAGCAGGAACACGGGGGCAGCAGGTGACCCGCAGCCACAGATCCAGAGCCAGAAAACCTGCAGGAAGTGATAGGAGGAGAGAGGAGAGGGACGAGAAAGCACAAGACTACCAGAAAGGGGAGAAGTTGTGTTAGTAACATGCAATAATGGGATGAGGTTGCATACAGAGGGAGAGAAAGTGGAGAAGAGAGGAGCTCAGTGCATCATAGGAAATCCCCCGGCAGTCTAGGCCTATAGCAGCATAACTAAGGGATGGTTCAGGACTACCTGAGCCAGCCCTAACTATAAGCTTTATCAAAGAGGAAAGTCTTAAGCCTACTCTTAAATGTGGAGATGGTGTCTGCCTCCTGAACCCAAACTGGAACCTGGTTCCACAGTAGAGGAGCTTGATAGCTGAACGCTCTGGCTCCTAGTCTACTTTTGGAGACTCTAGGAACCACAAGTAACCCTGCATTCTGGGAGCGCAGTGCTCTGGTGGGGTATAAGGTACTATGAGCTCTTTAAGATAAGATGGTGCCTGACCATTAAGAGCTTTGTAGGTAAGAAGAATGATTTTAAATTCTATTCTGGATTTTACTGGAAGCCAATGCAGAGAAGCTAAGACAGGAGAAATATGATCTCTTTTCCTGGTTCCTGTCAGAACACGTGCTGCACCATTCTGGATCAGCTGAAGTGTCTTAATAGACTTTTTCAAGCAGCCTGATAATAAGGAATTGCAGTAATCCAGCCTAGAAGTAACAAATGCATGGACTAGTTTTTCTGCATCATTTTTAGACAGGATGTTCCTGATTTTCGCAATATTACGTAGGTGAAAAAAGGCGGTCCTTGAAATTTGCTTAATGTGAGACTTAAATGGCATGTCCTGATCAAAGATAACTCCAATATTCCTCACAGTGGTGCTGGAGGCCAGGGGGATGCCATCAAGGGAAACTATATCTTTAGATAATGCGTCATGGAGGTGCTTAGGCCCCAGAACAATAACTTCAGTTTAACATTAGAAAATTACAGGTCATCCAGGTTTTAACATCCCGAAGGCACATTTGAAGTTTAGCTAACTAATGAGTTTCATCTGGTTTGATCGATAGATATAACTCATCATCTGCATAACAATGAAAGCTTATGGAATATTTCCTGATAATATTGCCTAAAGGAAGCATATATAAGTGAACAGGATTGGTCCGAGGACAGATCCTTGTGGAACTCCATGACTAACTGCTTTCTCCAGGATCTTAGAGAGAAATGGAAGGTTAGATATAGGTCTATAGTTGGCTAAAACATCCAGATCAAGTTTGGGCTTTTTCAGAAGAGGTTTAATTACAGCTACTTTAAAGTACTGTGGTACATAGCCTGTTGATAAAGATAGATTGATCATATCTAGTATAGTGCTGACTAAGGGTAAAACTTCGATAAGCAGCCTAGTCGGGATGGGGTCTAAGAGGCAGGTTGATGGTTTAGATGAAGAAATCATTGAAGTTAGTTGGTAAAGATTGAGGGAAGCAAAGCAGTCTAAACATATATCTGGTTTTACAGCTGCTTCTAAGGTTCCTGAGTTTAGAGATAAGTTGGTGCCAGTTGAGGGCAGGTCTTGGTGAATTTTGTTTCTAACAGTTATAATTTTATCATTAAAAAAGCTCGAAGTCGTAACTACTGAGGGCTATGGGAATACCT